CCTCACAAAGATGAATCACAAAGATGAATGTATTATTTGGTATCTTACGAATCGTTAAATCTATTTACAACCTTCTTTATGAAGATCGTGGCGAATCATTGGACTTGTCGTAGCCAAAATTTGGAGTTCACATTTCCAGATTAAGTGCAGTCATTCTTATGGATTGCTTGTCAAAGTAAAGCTATAACAAGAGAAAAAAGGGGTTTATTGTACGTAGCATTTGTGTCTGATAATGGAACAGTGGGTCATCTCCTTCTTCACTGCCAATCACACGATGGAACTATGGACTTGGGGAAGTCAGTGGCAGGATTTGTATATTCATGTTTTCAAGAATATAGAGCTGGTGTTGCAACAGAGGACTTCTCCTGGTATTTAAAGATGGGGACAATCTTATCGAGATATATCTGAGTATCATGTGGAGCATTTGGAGAGAATGGACAATGGATCCTTTAGAATTCAGAGAAGAAGTTGTTATGGTCCCCTTCTTCAGTAGGTTCTCTCAAGCTTAATTTTGACAGTAGTTCTTTTGAAAATCCCAATCTTGTTGGATTTGGTAGACCCATTAGAGAGGATAGAGGCAATCCAATTATTTCTTTTTCGGTCCTTGTGGTTTTACTACTGCTAATGAGGCGGAAGCTAAGGGGTTATTTGAGGGTCTAAATCTCATTTCTAGATTGGAGGGACATAAGGTCATTGAGAGAGACTCGATTAATGTTATTACTTAGAGTAAAACAATGCTAGATTACCCCAGAGATTGGTTCCTATTTTTTATGAGATTAGAATTCTTTTATCCAGTCTCAGCTTTTCTTCATTACTATATTAGAGGTCACTTCTGAGGCGGATTCACTTGCAAAAAGGTGGTGTCTATCAACCCTCATTGGTGGGCACCATTGGTGGGCACCCTATTCTCTTGAGTTTTTTTTGCTATACTCTTTATCTTCTTGGACTATTACCACTTTGCAATGAAAAATAAATAGTTAATCTTCAAAAAAAAAAAAACTACTCTTGTAGTTCCATGTATGTGAGGTGAGAGACGTTCACATGCACGTGCTCCAAGATTAACTGTACAGCAAGAAAATTGCACGAGTCAAATTAGAATTTTTTGAAGGAAGAAGTTTATATAAGAATGCAACCTTCTAATGTAGAACTACGGATGCGTCTCAAAAAGTCCATCAGAAAAGGTAGTTTTAATGCTGAAAAACCCTTTGATTGATCATCTCGACATCGAGATGTATGACCATGAAAAATTAAAGGATTTTAACTATCAGAAATATTGCATTTTACAACATATTATCTACACCGTCC